CTTCTCTTGATAGACTTTCACATTTTTCTTTTGTATAATTTAATCTTATCTCGAACACAGTTTTACATTTGTTTTTAGACTGAGGCTCCGTTCGTTTGGCGGAAAATATTCTCCCGGAAAATATTCTCCCGGTTTTCCGGTGTTCGGGGGCGGAAAACGTTTTCCATGGAAAATTATTTTCCTTCCTCCCTCACAAAATAGCCTAAGTCTATGGAAAATGATTTCCGCTTCTTCAAAAGCGGAAATCATTTTCCGGAACTTCTTCTTCTTCTTCACTAAGGTCGCCGGCCGCCGCCGCCGGCCGCCGCTACCGCCGCCGCCGCCGTCGCCGGTCGCCCGCCGCCGCCGGCCGCCGCTACCGCCGCCGCCGCCGTCGCCGGTCGCCCGCCGCCGCCGCCACCGGTCGCCCGCCGCCGCCGATCGCCTGCCGCCGGCCGCCGCCACCGCCGGTCGCCGGACGCTGGCCGCCGCCGGTCGCCGGCGAAAAATATTTTCGAAACTTTTTCATATTGGTCGCCGAACACCGGAAAATTATGTTTCGGGAAAATATTTTCCAAAAAAATGACTTCCGAGAAAATATTTTCCAAAAGGAGAATATTTTCCGCCAAACGAACGGAGCCTGAAACATATGAAATTTTCACGATACGAAACAATTGATACGTAATTTATATGTAATTTTATCATAAGTTTTTTATATTTGAATAACATTTTAAATTTGAAATAAAGCACAAATAAACAAGTCTCCAGAAAACTCAGCTAACTCTGATCATCATGATTACCTTTTTCATTCTCTTTTATTAGGTATCATTTGTGTAGACAAACTATGTATACCTATAAATCCATCAATAATAAGAAAGTTAGGTAGAATAGAGCTTAATGGTTGAGCCAAATCATGACAAAACTCCATTCCCTCCCTCTTTTTTTTTTTTTGGTCAGATCCCTTCCACTTCATTTTACATTAATTAGACATATTACTTTACAATAAAGTAGAAAAAACTTCATCATCTGATATAATCTGATATAACTTTTCTAGAACAATATAGCAAGCAACATCAACTTGCCTTACATATTAAATTGGATGTCATCTTTTACATTTCCGTGAATTGTCAGGGCTAGTTAGGTGTTAGACCACAATTAAATTCGGACGAAAGCGACATAAGCTAAGAATAATAAGTTAAACATGTAAACGGTAGTGCCTTCATTATTTTTTCAAATTTCAAACAGAAAGTGAAACTTATACAAACCACACCCCCCCCCCCCCCCCCCACAACACATAAATATATTGATGACATGGGAGGTTTTGCAATTAGCGTTTGGCAATGAAATATTCTTTATTATCTATTATTATTATACACTTATATTTTATTTTTGAACAACAATTGAGGTAAAGTACCTATATTAAGTTTTATGCAATAAATGAGGTGATTGGCCATTAATGAGGGACGATTAATAAATTAATATATGATTTTTCATATATGGTATATCAAATGTCCATTCTAATCTGATCTAATATAAATAATATTAGGTTTGATAATTGATGCGTAAATAACTTCAATTGATTAAACGTATCAAATGATTGGCTTTTCATTTCATGACAGTTTAATTTAAGGATAATATATCTCAGTAGGAGGATTTTGTACAATAAATGATGTTGGACACTTATAAAGATGGTTTTGTACAATAACATTGGGTTTCGCTATTAATGACTACAATTAATAAGTTAGTATTTTAATTTTAAACATATATATGTTGTTAATGAGGTTTGCTCTCGATATCCCTTAGCTTTTTGTGGAAGGATTAGCGTCACACAAAAGTAACATCATAGGCTAGATGAAATAGAGAGGGCCCAAGAGGAGGAGAGAGCAATTCTAGTGGACTCATATCCCAAGTGCCAGGTGAGGAATGTCGAGTTACTTGTTTGAGAGTTTTCTTGGCGGTTCATTGCTTTGAGATCAATCAAGATGTTGAAGTTTAAACATTTAGAAGTCAAAAAAGGACCCCCTAATGCGTGAATTGCCATGCGTTCGCCTTGAGGAGTTTCAGTAGCTATGGGGTTAGCTACAGAGTAGAAGTGATCAATGGACAGTCTCGGATCTAACCCAGCCTTTCTTTGGACCTAATTTGATACCTAAATCAAGTTAATTTATTTGAGCTGTCTTGCGATCTTTTGATCTTCTTCAAAGGTGACATGACTTCTTATCTTCAAATATTAAATCTCTTATCTTTAAAATTTTTCTCGAAAACTACTTTATTTAAATTGAAAGGAACTCTGTGCTTCATGATGGTCCTTCCCTTTATCTAATTGAGTTATTAGTTTAATATCAATTAATTCACGTCTTCACTTATTATGAACGGCTCAAATTGACCGTAACATTTGAAAAACAATAAGAAAATTCTTTTACATCACTCAAGTTCACTCATCTTCGGACGAAACAAAGGGATTTTGAAGCCGACCCTCGGTGGGAAAACCGAGTGACGACGCGCCTCTGTTTGTTTCTTGGGAAAATCTGCAGAGAGGGGAGAAAATTCGAGAGACGTCGCGGAGCCGTCTCTTTCTCAAGCTCGACATTAATGGCGGATCAAAGGTTAACGAGCCGTCGGCCCGACAAATACCCCTCCAACCCAACCCTCGAATCCCGATCTGCACTTTTATTTATATTTTGACCACTTTCCACGCTCTTTCGTTCGTCTTCTGTTGGCTTAGGGAAACTATCAACGTCTTTAGTTTGGAATTAGAGATATGACCTTTGTGGTGTAAACATGGCCCCAAGATTTACGTATATAGGCTATTTAGCCTTCTTCAAATTGGGCACATAAAAACAAGTACCATGTCCCTACTTCCAATTCTAAAATGGAATCCAAAAGAGAAGATTAGCCAACTTCAAGAGCTGTTTCACTATTCCACATATTAAAATTTAAAGTTAAAAAACATCCTCATCAGCTTGCTTTGATGAGCCCACCACACATTGGTACTTCAGTATATATATATATATATTTTTGCACACAAAAGGTTTCATACTACTTCATCCACAATGAACATAAAGTATCTTGCCATGTGAAGTTGGATGCTAAAGTTGCCCAAACAGCTATAACACTTTCCTATCTTCCCGTTAATTTTAAAACTCGATGTTACTACCAAATAATATGGGCATGCGTCCTTTTGCTAAGAAATGCATGTGAACGTGCATCGTTATCCAAGGAAAGCACGTGATGAAACTATGAAAATGGGCATCATCAGAAAAATATTGGGCTTATCAAAATTTATGAAAAAGGAATAACATACATAAATAGCATAAATATAGGATTTATGGTGCACAAATGTGCAAGTTTTGGTATTGCCTAGTATGGGAAGAGATCTTTAAGGCAATTTTTCTATTTATTTAGAGAATAGGAAAAAAATTAAGAAAGAATGAAATAATATAGAAGCATTTAGTCATAGGACGCAAATAAATTCGAGAGATTAGCAGGGAGAGTGAACTTCCCTACGCATATAGAACTTTCTATTTTTCAAAAAGTAAAGTTGTCTATCCCAATGTATATTGCATATGTTTATACACATGCACTTATTTATAGCAGCTCACACCTAACAATGCTTCGATTTAAACTGATTAACCATAGATTCATAACCTAAGTTTTGATACAAACTTTGTCATACCTCAAGTCCATCCCAAGAATTTAACGAATGACTGGCCGTCCTTTAAATTAACAACGAAACCTTCAACTAAGAAAAGTGATTTTTAAAACAAATATGTGAACTAAGCCAAAACTATCATTGAATGATAATTATAACAAAATTCAGTGATTCATGAATTAACCAAAAACTACAAATTCCTTAACCCTCTCCTACTTGCTCCTCACGTGTATTAAGAGTAAAAGTTGAGGATTAATCAATTCTTCGAAAATTTGGGAGAGTCTCTATCCATTAAAGCTGAATTGTGAAATGGTTTTTGAAATCATTTGGGGAGAAACCTGAAAAGTATAGATGAAAAAGGCCGGCTTCTTTTGAAAAGATTGATATATGGGGAAAATCAATTTAAGTTGAGGATCAATGCAATGTTTGAAAATTTGGGAGAGTCCTTGTCCAATCAACCTGAGTTGGAGAATGATTTTCGAAACTATTTCGAGATAAATCTTAAGAAAAAGAATAGATGAAAAAAGCCACCTTCTTATGAAAGGATTGATACGTGAGGAAAGTCAATTTAATTAGTAAATTATGCATAAAAAAGAATATCATTTTAAATATATTTAATTCTTGAGTAACAGTATATAATATTGGGAAATTGATCGATATTGCATTTATCCTGTGGTTAGAACTTTCCAAGGAGGGGGCTATTTTTGTGGAAAAAGAGAAAACGTAGGACAACTTGCTCCGATCCTTCTATCCAAAAAGTCAACATGACTGTTAATTTTTTCTACTCCAACACCAGCATTTTAATTTGCCTTTGCAAGCATGTTAGATGAGTAAACACTAGACGCACGAAATACGTTAGACAAGCCAATCGCGGACCACGGACCTGACCTCGGTGGGTCCCATATGCATTATTGATTTAGGCTTTGCGTGGATGATGAGAATTCCTATCTTCAACAACTCAAGCCGGAGAAAGAAGTTGAAAATCAGATTGGTCAAAAAGATGAAAATTAGGTCACATAAACTAGTTATAAATACTTGTTATGAATACTGGGAGAAGTCTCTACTCTTGAATCGACTGGGCTAACATCTTCTGATCCACAGAGAGAAAGAGAAAAAAAATGGCGGAAACTATCATCGTCGAGATTGCTGGAGAGATCATTGCTAATTTCAATAGCTCAGGTCGGTCATAGGAGTTGATAATTAGATTTGTCAGGTTTAGATTTTCCAGTCTCTAGTGAGCATGAACATAAACTCGTTATAACCTTACCAAAAAAAAAAAAAAACATAAACTCGTTATACATGTTGTGAGAAGTCTCTAGCCTTGGAGCGATTGAACTAATATCTTCTAATCCACAGAGGGAGAACAAAAATGGCGGAAGCTGCCATCGTCGGCATTGCTGAAGAGATCATTGCTAATCTTGTTCCTCGATCAATAGAAAAGGTTGGAAATTTATGGGGTGTCAAGCGTGAACTCGAGGTGCTCAAGGACACTGTCTCCACGCTTTGGGCTGTACTGGAGGATGCGGAGGAGAAATACGACCAGAGTCTCCAAATCCAAGTTTGGCTTGAGAAACTGAAAGACGTTTTTTATGATGCACGAGACGTGCTTGAAGAATTCAATATAGAAGCTACACGACAAGAACTGAGCGGCCACAATGAAATGTTCAAGGAGGTAAGGACATTTTTCTCAAGTTCAAACCAGCTTGCTTTTAAACTGAAGATGAGTTCCAAAGTGAGAGCACTGAGGGAGCAAATAGAAGCCATTAAGGCTGACAGGAGATTTCACTTGGATGAGCGGAATTCGCCAGTAGATAGAGAATGGAGGAAGAGAGAGGAGAGACATTCATTTAGATGTGAGGAAGATATTATTGCGGGAAGAGAAGACGATATGAGGGGGCTCATGAAATTTTTACTGGATTCATACATGCCAGAGAACATTTCCATCCTTCCAATAGTTGGTATGGGTGGGGTTGGAAAAAAGACTCTTGCTCGAAAAGTATACAATAATGCACAGGTTGGTTTATATTTTGACTTGAAAATGTGGGTTCGTGTCTCTGTTGACTTTGATGTGGATAAAATAGTGAAAAACATCATAGTTTGTGCAATGAAGAAAGAACGGACCACAGTTGCAATGGGACAGTTGCAAAGTGAACTGAAGGCACAAATTGATGGAAAGAGATATCTCTTAGTTTTAGCTGATTTGTGCAGTGTAGAGCAACAAACATGGCTGAGCTTGAAAACTTTATTGGCGGGAGGTGCTAGAGGAAGCAAGATTCTTATAACCACTCGCAATCATCTGGTTGCGGAAATAACCAGCACTAGTCCACCTTTTTTTCTCGAGGGATTATCTGACGACGTGTCTTTTTATTTATTAATGCGAATGGCTTGTCCAGAAAAAGAGCACGTGCAAGATCCTGACATAGAAGCTATTGGCAAAGAGATAGTTCCAACGTGCCGTGGGATTCCATTGCTTGTTCGAACTGTTGGGAATTTACTGTTCTTTAAGAAAACTAAAACTGAATGGCAACATTTCAAAGATGATCTCCGAGAAGTGTTTTTTAGGCAAGGCGACACGAAATCTATTCTTAAGCTAAGTTACAACCATCTTCCTTCACATTTGAGACAATGTTTTGCATTCTGTTCATTGTTTCCCCAAGATTATGAGATAAAGAAGCAAGCTTTGGTCAATCTTTGGGTGGCAGGAGGATTTATCCAACCATCGGGTAGAATTCAGGATTTAGAAGACATTGCCCATGGATATTTCATGGATCTACTTTTGAGTAACTTCTTCGAAGATTTTGAAGAAGACAACGGGACTTGTAAGATGCATGATTTGATGCATGATCTAGCCTACTCAGTTGCAGGGACGGAATGTTGGGCGGCAAGGGATGACCCAGGATCTATACATGAAAGAACTCGTCATATATCTCATGATTCAATTTCCAATTTGGTGGGTGGACTTCTAATCTCACGCTTGAAAGCAAGTTCATTGAAAACATTTCTTTTTGTACCTGCATATCGCGAAATGGAACAAAGAAAACCAACAAGTGAAGCAGATCTACGCCAGCTCATTCAAAGTTACAAGAGGTTGCGCATCTTGGATTTGCATGCCGCAATTGTTAAGAAGGTGCCAATAACCATTTGTAAGTTGAAGCATCTCACATATCTCGATCTCTCTCACAATAATGAACTCAAAAGGCTTCCCAACTCCATTACGAGATTGCAAAATTTGCAAACACTTAATCTCCAAGGTTGTTTTGCCCTTGAAGAATTGCCACGGGATATAAGGAAGTTGATTAACCTTCGAAATCTAGACATAGATTATTGTTACAGTCTTAATTATGTGCCACATGGACTAGGGCAATTGACTTGTCTACACAGGCTAACACGCTTCATTTTGCCCCAAGGTAAAGATCTTGCTAAGAATTATTGTGGACTTGAGGGGCTAAAAGGGCTTAATAACATCCGTGGAAGCCTTAGCATTGAAAATTTGGGGCACTCAAGAGATGCATTAGTAGAATCTGGGGCGGCGAACTTGATAGAGAAGCAGCATCTGGCATCTTTGATACTCAAATGGAGCTATCTTGATAATGATGATGCAGTAAATGGTGATACAGATGAAGCTTTATTAAATGGGCTGAGGCCGCACTCAAATTTACAGAAGTTGACGATCCACGGATATAAAGGTGAGAACTTTCCAAGGTGGATTATAAATAACCTTGAGTATTCCTTGCCAAATTTAGTTGAGTTACGCTTGTTGAGATGCGGAAAATGTAAACATGTCCCTCAACTAGGCCGACTACCTCACCTCAAATCTTTAGAGATTTGGAGGCTCACTGAATTGGAATACATTGAGTCAGACCATTCTTCCACTTCTGAATTGGAATACATTGAGTCAGACCATTCTCCCACTTCAACAGCATTATTTCGTAGTCTATCGAGATTAGACATCCAGTACTGTGAAAACTTGAAATCCATGCCACTAGCTCCACGTCTTGAGGATTTGATTCTGAGGAAGGTCAACCGAGAGTTGATAAAGCTTATATTTGGCCTTAATGTGTTGAAGAGTCTAGATATCTCGCAGATGGAGTTTCTAGAATGTTTGCCTAAGGATTTTTTGCAAAGTCTCACTTCACTTGAACGTCTGGGCATCAGTGAATGTCCTCGGTTAACTTCCCTCTCGGGTATGCAACATCTGCCGAGACTTAGGCGCCTTTCTTTTTCTAATTGCAAGGAGCTGGATATATCCAAAGACGAAAACGGCAACATCTCAGATTTGCAAGGACTTAAGAGTCTCGGGTCCGTGTACATCCATGAACTTCCCAAATTAGCATCTCTCCCACAATGGCTTCTACGGGTCAGCAATCTCGAGCATCTTTCTATTAAAAAGTGCTTAAAATTGAAGGTTTTGCCAGAGCAGATCGAGGCCCTTCAATCACTTCAACGGCTTGACATCATCCGGTGCCCCTTGTTGACATCATTACCTGAAGGAATGCAAAGGCTTACATCCCTTAATTACCTAAAAATCGCAGGTTGCCCAAATTTGGAAGAGGTGTGCGAAAGAGATGGAGGCGAGGACTGGTACAAGATTGCTCATATCCCATACATAACTCACCAGCTCGAATACTATGAACGCCACTTATGACTAGAAATTCTCCACTTTTCTCTAGGTACGAGGACCATTTTTTCCTAGTATTTACATGAGTAATTATTTTCAAATTATTTTTCGATACTTGATTCAATTGGGCGACATGGACAAATTGGTGAAAGGTTTGGACACATCTATGAATGCAGATATTTAATGGGTGTGGAAACATTGACATGTTGTTCCTTCAGGATGGCCCTCAATGGGATGTCCCTAAACAAAGTGCTCGCTTTATTCCCAAAAGTGCGAGAAAAACAAAGAAAATTCACACTCGTTCTCATCCAACTCCAAGCTCATTAAATCTGGCTTGTGACTCATGCTGTAGGTATAGTGTGAACTCTGCTTATTTGATTTCACAAGGAGTAAAATGCGTGAACAGTTCAATGATCCGGAAGCTGACAAGGAAAACTCTCGTGGATAAAGCGATAAAATGTTTCTTTGGAGAATGGCTTCTAGCTTGCTTTCCTTAGAAATAACTTTATCACAATGTGTTCACATAGAATCAATATTTTTTCATCAATTGGGATTGAATACAGGGAATCAAATTTCTATTTCCCTGATGTTTCGTCATTCTTCTTCGTTCATTTTCGTTCCTGGAAATCGATCAAGGTCAGCTCAACAGTGTTGGGCCTCGTTCTGATTGGAAGAGCTGCCTTCGTTTTTCCCCTATTATTCTTATCCAACTTGGCTAGGAAGTCTTAGCACGAAAAGATTGATTTGGAGCATCAGGTTGGAGATTATAATTTTCTAGTGGAATTTCCTGTGTATGAGGTAGTCAGCATCATGGATTTTCCTATTTTAACTCTGATATGTTCAGGTCACAATTTGGTGGGCAGGGATTATGCGTGGCGCTGTCTCCATGGCACTCGCTTATAACCAGGTAAGATGATCGGATAATGCGTATTCCAGGAGACTATCCACAAGTAATACCATGAGATTCTTTCTATTTCTAGAAATACGATGAATGTGGTCGCCAGAGATGCTTTTTTAAAGAAGATCTACTACTATGTTTCCTCGTCTGACGCATATGCTTGCTCTTAAGTTCAGTTTCTGTGCGTGCAGTTTACTCGGTCCGACGCAAAATTGCGAGGCAATGTGTTTATGATCGCCAGAACCATCACAGTCGTTCTGTTTAGCTCTGGTAAGATGGCATTTCATATGCTGAGTCTAATTGGTGGCATAACATGTAGCTTGTTCCTCATGGTATCATTCTTCGATCCAGGTGTTTGGACCGTTGGCGAAGCCTCTAGTGAGAATCTTTGCTTCCTTCAACCAGATACTTCGCCAGCACAAAATCTTCCAAGCCATCAAGTCCGAAACCTTCACGCAGCCACTGCTCAGTAACGGACACAACTTGGAGTCTCACCAGAACGGCAGAAGCGTACTCCAACCGAGCAGTTTGTGCAAGCTCCTGAGGACGCCTTCTCACACAGTGCACCATTACTGGCAAAAATTTGACGATGCCTTCGTGAGGCCCCTGTTCAGCCGGGAGGTTTGGTGCCTTTCGTTCCATTGCCCTCCGATCAAGGTGATCATCAGTGGCTCTAACGAAAGCCGACGACGACATCAAGAGCTAATGATTTTGTTTGGTGGCTTGTAAGTAGGACACAATCATACACAGGTTTTTTCGAGTGTGAAGTTTCGACCCCTTTGACGAGATTGATGGCGTATACGGAGAGCAGCAGCATTTTATTCAACGCAGCTACTTTGCATTTTTGCGACAGAGAAATCTGATTTCTTCCCCTTGTTTTTCTCTTTTGTTGTTTCTTTCTTTGGTCTTGGGCATGTATTAAGAGAGTGAATGACTTTTGTAGTCTCCTCCTCGCTGGATGATATCTGAATATCTGAAATTCAATGCTTCATCAACTGCTTCTGATTACATTTCCAACAGTTGAGCTTTTGAAGCTGTCAATGTTCATGTGAACCATTGGAATTTGCTTCAGTGGTCACCCTTTCTACTTGAGAATGGAGAGGTGGGGAGTTCGATTCTCCACTTTCTCATGAGAGTTAGGGGTGGGGATGTGTAGTTTTAAATGTGGGTTTCGACTCCCAATCCCTGCAAGAAGTAGAGCAAAAGTCTGAGAGTTAGAATAGGACAGACCCAAAATAAAAAAGTGTTTATGTGCATTAATATTTGCCGGCCCCACGTCGCATTCAGGCATTGATTCAAACATGCACCGCGCCATTAAATCGAGTTTCCTTCATTGTGGGGCCATATGATAATTCTAGTTAGTAGTTAAGGAGTGAAAGAGGGCAAATTTTGTCAAGATTTTGCAATGGAACTCTCATTCCACAAGGCACTTATTTCCTGGTAACCTAATTACAACCATCCCTTTCAGGACAAAATTGCAAGCCGTTGACATTTATGAGGGCTTAGCCAAAAAATCAAAGTTGGGACATTGATCTTAACTCTTTCTTCTCCAAATTCACATTTATGGAGTCCCATTTAGACTTCTCATAATTAGAGTCTAAAAGGAAGTCTTAAAGAAGGGATGTGGCTAGACTTAACCCTGTTTTAAGCAGAACTGTGGTATCTCAAATTACATTCAGGAACATGAAAGTACAATGCAACTTCTTGGATGCCTCGCGAGTTATAGATGCATTATTTTTGTTCTATTATTTTCGTATTTCTTTTTCTTTTTTCTTTTTTGCTTGAGGCTACTAGCTATGAAATAAGCGGAGAGTAATGAATCCATATAGGGTGGAGATGGGATCGTAACCTCAAGCTCGCGAAGGCATGGTAGCTCAATTTGACCTCGCGGTCATAACCGCCCAGATTGGGGTTACTAAGTGGGTAGGAATTTGAGCTCCAGGCTTTGGCTGCTCAAGCTTCAAGCTCACGGCGGCCATGGATGCTCTATTTGAGCTTGCGGAAACCATGGCTACTTAAGCTTTGTGACTTGAAACTCAAGGGCCATGGCTTCAAGCTCACGGCGGCCATGGATGCTCTATTTGAGTTTGCGGAAACCATGGCTACTTAAGCTTTGTGGCTTGAAACTCAAGGGCCATGGTCACTGCAAGCTGAAGCTCCAGCGACCATGCAACATTGAGGTTCGCAGGTCAAAAAGATCTTCCGGTTAGGGGCGTAAATGATTCGGTTCGGTTCGGATGGTTCGGATTATTTGAAAATCCAATCCGAACCGAACCATCAAGATGTGTGTATATATGTATCCGAACCGAGTTCCAAACTGAATATGACCCGAACCGAAACTCCTATTTGGATCGGTTCGGCTCGGTTCGGATTTTTGTTTTTTCTCTTTATTATTTTGGCGAGCGGGATGAAATAGGTTTTCCTTCAACCCCTTCCCTTCGTCCCCCATTGACGGAACCATGGAGGCGCTGAGCAATCTTCTCAACGTCCTGACCACCCACCACCGCAGACAGATCCCGACCCATCACCTCCGCCACGCCACTCCTGCTGCCACCGCCACAACCAACAACGGAGGCCCCCTCTCTCTCGGCCACCCACAACACACGAAAACTCAACGCCACAATAGCACCACCTCTCGGCCGCCCGCTGCACAGGACCTCGGCGTGTCGTCGTCTCTTTCGATTTGGTGGAGACGCCTCCAGATCTGGAGACTCGATGCGCCATGGAGGCGTCGAGCCTCCAGATCTGGATGCCGGATGGGTCATGGAGGCTCTGTTCCTGAGTTCACACCCAACAAACGTCGGCTTTCCCCAAAAGCTGCTTCGGAATCTGGAAAACTTGACATGGTTTCATGCATTTCTTTGCATAGAGAGACAGAGAGAGATTGTTGTTTAAAATACTAAAAAAGTTGGTGGTTTTGGTGCAAGAGTCCTTCCTTGCTCCATCTAGAGGCAACTCTGCTTCTGCGTTCTCTCTGTTCCATTTGATAAATTAGAGAAGTAATATAGTATTGCTTCCCCAACTTGATACTCGGAAACAAAAGACAATGGAAAAGGAAGAGATGAGACGGAAGCTATCCTGGAAGAGAGAAAATGGCTAATAACTTGTGGGAGAGAGAAGAGAGCCTCGGGAAGAGGAATCACGGAGAGAAGTAACGCAATTTTGCAGCTTGCTCCGAGGAGAGAGAGGAATTAATGGAGTTGGCTCAATTTTTGAGACAAAAAGCTAGATGAGGACGAAGAGAGACAGACACTCGAAATAAAAAACCGAATTTATTTCGGTTATTCGAGCCGAACCGATCCGATCCAAATTGAATTAGCAAAAAAAATTTCAAAATTTTAAATTCGATTTGGTTCGGTTTCGATTTTGGTTCAATTTCGATTCGATTTCTGACACCCTCACTTGCAGTCATGGCCACGAGCTCAAGTTGGCCATGGCATCCATGAGTATGAGCTTGATCGGCCATGGCAAACTTAGACTTTGAGCTTGCCATTATGGCTGTTGTGATAGACCTCTCTCTCTCAGTTTTTCCTTTTTCTTTTCTATATTCTGATGTGACATCTAATTTTCATGTCAACAAGCGTTAAGAAGATAATGTACATGTGAAATGACACATCAGAATTGCATTATTAGATGGAAACTTGACGGGGACGACTTTCAAGAGTGACTGAAAGTGGATTCAAACAAAAATAGGTTAGCGTCAAAATTGAGACCCAAGCCAAAATTGGTCATTTTAAGTAAATTAGGCCCAATTTCATTTCGATTCGACCCTATTCCCATCCACCAAATAGTGTCAACAAAGACAGTGGAGCTTTCTACTCATTCCAATGGCTTCCTTCTCGATTGCCAAACATGCCTAAAGACGATATTCGCCGCTCTTTTCCCCTTTCATAACCACCGAAAAAATAACCAAAGATAAAATTAATAGTGTCATAAACGCCATGAGAAATGCTTTCTAATGCTTTTTACTGTGTTACATGAATATCGCACGATAGTTTCCTGGTAATATGACAGGTTTAGTTTTTTTCCAATATGTAAATGACATTTGGCAATCTATTCAGATGCCATATGTGAATTTGACCGTCATAAAAGAGCCAAAACTCAAGACAAATAAGAACAGAAGACAAAA